ACACTGTGAAGTTCACAGGCCGGAGGCATGCGCTCACTAACAGACTGAGGCCTGGTCACAGGACTGCAGAACACTTCCCTCCCCCACCTCACCATCGCATTACAAAAAGCCATTTGCAGTCGTTCCTTTCACCCAGGACATCAGCCCATCTACCAGAGCAAGCACCAGAGCAAGACAAGGCAGGGACTTTGGATTATCAAACCAGGAATTTAAAACAATCATGATTAATATGCTAAGGGCCCTAATGGATAACGTAGACAACAATCAAGAACAGATGGACAATGTAAGCAGAGAGATGGATATACTAAAAAATAAAATAAAAGAGAAAGGAAGAAGGAAGGAAGGAAGGAAGAGAAAGGGAAAGGAAGGAAGGGAGGGAGGGAGGAAAAGGGAGAGAGAGAGAAAAGAAAAGAGATTCTGGAGATTAAAAACTACTGTTACAGAAATGAAAAATGCCTTTGATGGGCTGGACACGGCTGAAGAAAGAATCTCTGAACCAGGGAATATATCAATAGAACATCCCCTGAGGGGTCCCGGATTGGAGAGGGTGCAAGTTGGGTTGAGGAGACCCCCCACCCCATGCACGAACTTCATGCACCGGGCCTCTAGTAAATTAAATAATCCTGAAAGAAGCCAGAGGGAATAAACATCTTCCCTACAGGAAAAGAGTGAAGAAGAAATAAAGACATTCTCAGCCCCCAAAAATATATCAATAGAATCCCTGAAAATTTACAACAAAGACTGAGAAAACAAAGCCAGAATATCCAAGGACTGTGGGACAACAACAAAAGATGTAACGTATGTGAAATGGGAATACCAGAAGAAAAAGAAAGGGACAAAAAAATATTTGAATCAATAATGACTGAGAATATCCTTCCAATTAATTTCATACACCACACGAAAAATCTAGGAAGCTCAGGGAACACCAAGCAAAATAAATGCAAAAAACCTACATCTTCAAACTACAAAAGCAAACAAATGAACATAAACCCCCACAAAGATCCTCTATAATAGAGGTAATATGCAAATTAACCCTCATGCCCTCACAAGATGGTTGCCTACAACCAGGCCAGCAGGGGGTTAGTGAGAGACGACCAAATGACTGAACAGCAGGCTGCGTGGGGTGACCGGGCTGGCAGGGGGGTTAGTGAGGGGCGACTAGGCTGGCAGGGGGGGCAGTGAGGGGTGACCAGGCAGGCAGGCAGGTGAGCGATTAGGAACCAGCAGTCCAGGATTGTGAGAAGGATGTCCGACTGCTAGTTTAGGCCCAATCCCCGGGGTCGGGCCTAAACCAGCAGTTGGACATCCCCTGAGGGGTCCCGGATTGGAGAGGGTGCAAGTTGGGTTGAGGAGACCCCCCACCCCATGCACGAACTTCATGCACCGGGCCTCTAGTAAATTAAATAATCCTGAAAGAGGCCAGAGGGAATAAACATCTTCCCTACAGGAAAAGAGTGAAGAAGAAATAAAGACATTCTCAGCCCCCAAAAATTTTTTAAGAAATTTGTTGCCAGTAGACCTACCTTTCAAGAAATGTTAAAAGAGGTTATTTAGAGAGAAGAAAAATAATATAGATCAGAAACTTGGACCTACATAAAGAAAGGGAAAACACTGAAGGTAAAATAAAAGCTTTCA